TAAAAGTACTAAAAAGATCTAAAATAAAATCATTCTAATTTGTTTATGGGTACTAGTTTGTATGACCTCATTAATTAAGAGACAACATGCAATATGTGTGCAGTTGTGTATGTGTAAATGTAATATTAGGTAGTTTATTTATCACCCTATTTATTTATCAATAATAACATATATATATATATATATATATATATATACATAATATAATATAATATAAACATATTTATTTATTTGTTTGTTTGCTTGCTTGTTTGGTTGTTTAATAAAAAAAATTGTTATTTATAAATAACAAATTAACATTTACTTATAAAAACATGGTATGCTATTTATTCATAAATAAAAACACATTTATTTTTATTTATAAATAACTTTTAAATAATTTATAAATTTTTTGTTTGTTTGTTTATATATCTTCTAATAAATAAATACATAAATAGTTAGTTAGTTAGTTAGTTAGTTAGTTAGTTAGTTGTCAACTACCCAGTACCCACATAACTACCAAGCTCCGGATTAGTTAAAAAGAGATTTTAAAAAGTGATTATTCATATACATAATATTATTTGTTCATATCATGCTCCAAATTTGATTCACTCCTTTGCTACCTTTCAGTTCAATTAATTTGAGAGACTTCTTTAAGGAGTGAGGTATATAATGATGTTGCTAATCTCCACATCATGGACTATACATGTTTTTGACTGCAATTAAAAAATTGAACAAATTTGGGCTGCTGTGTTTTTTAGTATAGCCCTAATCCTTGATAGCTCCATTTCCTCAGATTCGATACTGTTCTGCCACCAGGCCCCCCCCCCCCAAGCGCCGCTTGAGTTAAATATGGAACGCAGTTTAATGCCACAAAGTGGTAAGCATCAGCTACCAACAGCCCCTGCCTGCTTCCCTCCAGGGTCGCTGCAGAAAGAGAAAGCACAGAAATATTCAAAGCACGCCAACTGTGCTTCGTTCTGTAGGGAAATGAAGGCGACCCTCCTTGGTTCGGTTTATTAATTTTTGATATGTTGTTGCTGCTGTGTCTCATTGGCTTTTCGTAAGCAGCAGCAGCAGCGGCAGCAGCATGAGTTAACTAATGCAACACAAGTGTCTTTTTTATACTGCATCATTTCCCTCAATGTTTAGGTGACCTTTAGCCTTCTAGTCTGGCTGTGCTGTGTTGAATCATTTTCATGTTTTAGATGCATGACTAAAGTAACATAAAATGTTGAGTGCCTCTCAGCGTTGAATGCATCCCATATCTATACTTATATCTTAGTTTATATCATCACTAAAAGCTTGCAGCACTGGTAAGCTTAATATGATTTCCTCAAGTAGGACATCCTGGATCAATGCCTTTGTTGCTCCTGGAAGGGGATATTTTTTGGAAGTGGATACTTTTTGGCCAATGCTGGATGTTTATTTTAGTTTTTAAATAGAACTGGAAATGTCTTGGTCAATATATTTATTTACTTTTCATTTTTATTGGATATTTATTGCCTGATATTTGTCCGTTTGTTCGTTTTATTTATTTATTTATTGATTGGTGTGGGATATTTTATCAGCCAATGTTAAATATTTATTTGTTTCTGGCTATTTTATCTATCATTTTTATTTTGTTTCGATTTTGATAAATATCTAGCACTTATAATAGTGATAGATTATAGCAAAGATCTCCTGAAGAGTGCTGTCCCTTTAAGAGCACATATCTGATATATGAGTTGCTGTGCTCGTATATGATACCAGAGCTGTGTGTGTGTGAGTTCACTTCTTAGTTCGTTGAGTTCATTGGGTTTGTGTCTCAAAAAAAATGTAAAACAACCTTTATTAATGTTAAGCTGAAGTAGACGGTAAACTATGTTTCAGACCACTCACACAAACTCCTTTGTATTAACTAAATAAATCATTCTAATCTATTTTTTTTTAATTCACTAAGCTCTCTTTTTTTTAACCAGATTTTTTCAAGGACTAACCAGCAGCCCAGAGGGCCTTCCTGTAATGAACACAGCATACATTTTTCTATCGCAGATTTCAAACTGAATATTATATATCTTTCAATTGTATAATGTCTTGATGCTTAAATTCAAGTACAATCTATTTATTTTAGTTTTTAGTTGTAGCTCTTTTCTTTTCTTTCTTTTTATTTGACAAAGATTTATAGTATCAGTTATATATCGATCGTGAGCCATAACATGCAAAAGATTATTGGATTATGGGTTTCTGTCAAAATTATAATGTCAATATTGATTATTTTGTAAAGACCAATGAAAATCGATGATCAAGGGACTTGTCCTATTGGGGAAATCATGTTGTGCATGAGTAGTATGTTCATTATACAGAATATTCCCATGTGACCTTTGACCTTGTGACCATATCCAAAACCTGAAATCTGCTTCTCCCGTCACGCCTGGCACTGCTCTGTGATGCTCACCGGACTGCTGGTTTGCAGTCCGTTGCCGATACAAGAGCTGCCTGTCCTACAGCAGCTGTCTGGAACGCATTTTGATGGATGTCATGCTACAGTCGTTCACTCATAGCTGTGTGTGTGAGGAGATGGGTCTGTCAAAGGGTCCCTGGTTTCTCTCTGGCTCCTGGAAGTTTGAAAATGCTGCCTGTCGGCTCTGGCGCTGGCTGCCCGTGTCGTTTAGCTTTAGGATGTCTTCAGGATTCCCGTCTCCTCTCAATGAGGAGCAGACCACCATTGTTTGTCAAGCCTGCTGTTTCTACTCCTCGTCACAGTAGATGTTTCTCGGTGCTGCCTGTGTGGATGATGGATCTGCATCTGGCAGCCTCCGGTTGGGCGTTCAGCCTGCGGGCTTGTCAGGGTGATATTTATGTCTCCTAACCTTCCAACCAGGGCCACCATGTCACTAGTTCATTCATATGTAGGTTAGGATGTTTAATCACTAGGGCTGGGTAAAAAATATCGATATCTCGATATCAATCGATTCTCATTTTTACAGAAAGATATCGATTCTTAAATCCCAAGAATCGATTAGTCTAGCCTGTTTTCAGTTAATGGACGGAACATTGAAGGGCACTTCCCAACCAATATATCGCAATAAGCATTGTGCTTTGGTGCTTTTAATATGAAACAAAGTCTCAAGTTTCAAGTTCTGTCCATTCTATTGCAGTATTCAAACAATAAATGTTGTTTTGGCTCTGTTTAATGTGGAGTGACAGATCGCTGTAGCGCAGCAGCGCATTGCGCACGTGAACTGATCATCTCCTCCACATTAATACCAGTGTCAGCACAAAATAATCATGACTAAACATCCCAAGGTAAGTTACAAGAAAGAGTACAACTTTACAATCTGTATCCTGTCTCATGTAATCATGCTGATTCAGTTGTTTAAATATGAATTGCAAAAAGGTAAAAAATGCTGGTTCAGTTGTTTAAATATTAATTGCAAAAAGGTAAAAAAATTGTAAAAAAAACAGTATGTTTTGGTAAAAAATGTCAAGTGCACCTATGTTTCAGATGCCAGGATAAGGAAACGGCAGGGCGAGTAGCTTTGAAGCCGGGAGAATTGTCACTGCTCATTTCCGTGTGTTTAACATGGCCGCCCTTCTCTAGATGCCTGGAGCAATGGAGCGATCTCATGACAATCACACTGTCACAGTTCGCTCAGGTCTGAGACGAGCATGGCTGTCATTTTTTGAGCAGTCTGATTTGCTGATATTGTTTACTTGCACTTGGCTTCACCACTCAGCGCATTCATTTCACAGTCCGGATCCGATCTGCAGGCATCGGTTTGACCCAATCAGTAGTTTTATAAACATGGCTAGATATTATTCAGATATTTAGCTGAAGTTTATTTATTTTAATCATGAGAACTCTCTGAAGATTTTAGCATGGTGATGGATATGACAATGGTAATGTATTTGGTCTTGGCGGAATAGATCTGCTATGCTGCTGCTGAATTGCTGCTGCTGTTGGTTATTGCTGTAGTTGTAGATTATTGCTGCTGCTGCAAGCAAGTACAGAAACTTGCTTGCTTACGGTGCCATGAGTATTTAAGACATACTGCTGCAGCACAAATAGCATATAAAATAACTCGTAGCAGATCTATACAGGTGGAGCTGGGGAAGGTGGAGGGTTTCAGAGAAACTCTGAAAGCGCGCTGCAGGTATCTCTAGTGAATGCTAGCCAGCCATATAAATGCAAGGCAGTAAGCTCATTGGCTGCATATGCAGCATGAGCCAATCAGCTTGTGCCAAGTCGTTTAACTCTGTGAATATCATCAGTTACGTTAACAACCCATCAGCCTGCACCATCTAGAGTTTCATGACTAAACTATATATTTGTGCCAATTCATGTATTAGTGGTGGCTAACCAAAAATGAAAATTCAGTCATTTACTGGCCCTCATGTCAAACCTGTATGACGTTTTTTTTTTTTTCAGTGGAGCACCAAAAGTAGTTTATTTATTTACTTTATTACTTTCAAATAAGAATATTTACACTACTTTTCAAAGGTTTGGGTCACTAATATATATGTGTATAAGAAATGAATAGATTTATTCAGCAAGGATGTGTTAAATTGATCAATTTGAAATTTTCTGTTCATCAGAGAATCCTGAAAACTGTATCACAGTTTCCACTAAAATATTACGCAGTACAACTGCTTTCAATATTGATAAAAATAAATGTTTCTTGAGTAGCAGATCGGCATATTAAAATGATTTCTGAAGGATTGTGAAAACTGGAGTAATGGCTGCTGAAAATTCAGCTTTGCCATCACAGAAATAAATTACATTTTAAAATGTATTATTTAACAGTATTTCATATTTTTAATTAAATATATGCTGTCTTGTTGAGCTTAAGATAAAAATCTTACTGGCCCCAAGTTTTAGAATTGTAGTGTATGTTTTATACATTTTTAGCAATTTTGTGAAATTTGAACATATTATTTCATTTGTTTTTAGAATGTATTAATGCTGGCTAGAAAACTAGCTTTAGCAAAGCAAGGGACAAGTGAGATTTTTCTCCCAAAATATTTCAAATGTCATTTCTATCACAGTCATTTCCACTGTACAGAAGGTTATCCAACACAATTGTTGCATCATTTAAGGTTGGAGATCATGTGATGGAAATGATTCTGTAGTGCAAATATTTATGCCGGATCAGAAAATGACAAAAATGTATTCTTCTATGTCCAAAAGTGTCCATAGTTGATGAAACCCAGTTGAAGATAAAGTCATACGATCAGCGAGATATGTTCAAATGCACTGCAAAGGATCATTCCGACAAAGCCATCACATACAGTCTTAGATACATTTAACATTGAGGACCCTTGGACCCCTCCATCATGATGGAGCTGGATGGAGAGTTTTAGTACAGGAGGGGTGAGATACTACGATTCCCTTGAGAGCGGGAGGCTCTTATCATGCCTTTGGGAGAGGCCTCAGGGTGACACTGTTAAAAGGATGGCACTCCCAAGTCGCTAAAAGCCTGTTAAAGTAACTGCTTTTATTGCTCCTATTCTGATTCCTCGCTCACAGTCTCGACCTTCACAAGTCCTTGCATTGGAAATGAGGGCAAGCACGAACACTTGGCACTGAGAGGGAGGTGTGTGGGTGTGTGTGTAGGTCAAATCTGATTAGTGTAGCATACTGTAGGAGTGTGAAAAGCACACTTTCACTTGTACGCACAGAGAAAACGTCATCACAGTCTATGGATCCAGCCCACTGTTTTAATATAAATGAAAATGCTCATAACTAGAGTATCAGCTGAGGTTGCTTGGCTTCTGACTCATAAAAAGGCTTTTGTGTGCTTGTATATGATCCACATCTTCACTGAGTCTAGTTTTAAAAAAAAAGAAAAAAGTTCATGTCTGCTGATCATAAAACAAAGATTCATTGATTCAGTCTTGTAGTTTGCTCCTGACCCATTTTACTTCCATAATGTGATGTGATGTGATTGATGGTGCAACAGGATATTCAGGGACAAAAAAATAAATAAAAAAATGTAGGACCGAACTTGATTTTGTAATGTAGGAATTGATTTGACCATGAAAAATGGGTGTTCTGTAGCAGAATGGAGCCAGGCCAACCCACATGGCCTATGTGATGTCATTAGAAAAGGAACATCGTTTTAGAAGTGATTTAAAATTGACAAAGATTTTCCATCTTGGATATCATGCGCAGTGCACATTCAAACCAAAAAAAGACTTTTGACACAAGTTCAGTTTGTAAGTTCAGTAGGTTCGTTTTGCCTGCAGAAAAATAAGCTTTGTTCCAAAACTTAGTGAGCTGCATTTGGAAGTAACATTTTGTGATATCATAGATGTAAATAATGTTCCAAAATCTTAATTATTCAGCATGTTAATTGAACTTGTTTTGGTCAAATCATGAGGTTGTGTTGCATGTATCCCTTATGGAGAAGGCAGTCCCAGATTGCATTACTTCTAACTAAATAATGACAAATATTTTATTAGTAATTAATCTAATCAGTGTTATTTTAGTATTATGTATTTACTATTGTAGTATTTATTCATAATTTGAATTGTTATATTTTTATGTTTTTAGTATTCATTTTAAGTTTAGTCATTTTTGTGATGTTTGTCATTTTTATTAGTTTCTTTCTTTATTATTTATATTTATTTATCTTTTATTTATTTTAATTTCAGTAATTTGTTCATAATTTAAGAGCATCAAATGTTCATAATTTACTAGAACGTTTCCAGTTTAAGTATTTAAAGGGTTAGTGCACCCAAAAATTCTGTCATTAACTCATGTAGAACTTATAGTAGAAATTGTTGAATAAAGTCATTATTTTTGTTTTCTTTGTGCACAGAAAGTATTTTTGCAGCTTTGTAACATTGCAGTTGGACCACTGAAGTCACTATTTTACTGAAGGACTGAACCACTGAAGGACTATTTTAATGATGTCCTTACTGCCTTTCTGGGCCTTGAACGTGTCAGTTGCTTTACTGTCTATGCAGGGTGAGAAAGCTCTTGGATTTCATCTAAAATATCTTAATTTGTGTTCTGAAGAAAAAACACGAGGGTGAGTAATTAATGACAGAATTTTCATTTTGGGGTGAACTATCCCTTAAAGATTTTGATCTAATATTTCTGTTTTATTTGAGCTTTATTTCAATTGATCGAAAATAATTTTAATAGTTTTATTTTTGGTTAACAATAACAAGACTGAATCTAATTCAAATTAATTGTTTAATTATTTTGTGTGTGTTTTGTGCTTATTAGGCCTAGTTCTAATATTTCACTGATTCCAGAAAGATGTTGTATGTTGTATGCACCATGTTATGCCTGAAAGGCTGATTGTTAGCTTAGCTTCAAGCTCTACTGAAATAGAGTCTCCATTTTTATGACACACAGACTTGCTGTCCATGTTGTATGTTCCAAAACATTCCCTAATGGGGCTCCATGTATGCAAGAATGCTTCTATAGGGGCCAAATCTTAATAATCATCAGTTTCTTGCCTCTAACACATTGTCCTATGAGCTCTCTTAAATTGAGGGATTACACCATTTATTTACAGTGGGTCACAGTACGTCTGTGTTGCTTTTAGTCATAAACTGTTTGAAGGTTGACATTTTTATATGATTTCCCCATTTTCAGCCATAAATATCTTCACAAGGCCATTGCTAAGCTGTGAAGGACTCATTTTATTGGTGAAGCAGAAATGTGTGTCAGAATGTGGGTAGTTTTTAGTGCAGAAAGAGGGGAGCTAGTCTGCATTACACATAGTATTTATGCATACAAACAGCCACACATGTACAGACATGCACACAATGTCCCGTAAATCAGGGCCCCTGGGGGACGCCTGCTGCCGTTAACTCTTTAAGCGATTTAATAGGCCTATTTGGGGTGTATTTATAGAATGATTTAGCACGTGTTGATTTCCTGCGCTTGTTTACTCTGACTTCTTCACAGAAAACTTTTATGGACTTTTAAAGGTTTTCGGTAGCGAGGAAGTGAACTCAAGCTTGTATCCAACTGCATGTGCCACAAAAGAGAGTTTGTGGGACTGTGACATAATCAGCATTTGTCCTCACAACTGTGGCCAAAACCACCACTACTGCCACCAGCTCTTTACTAAGTGTTTGATAGCTTTTTAATTACCCTTTATGTTACATAAACACACATATTGAAGAGGATCACTGTAATTAAACGCCCCAACATTTGCGTTAAGCTGCCTGAAGCCTCCACAAGTAATTCTGGCCTGTATAGGCCACAGCATTCCTGTAAGTTATTATAGAAAAGACTCATTCATACAAATACAAGTGTTTTCATTTGACATTTTTCGGGTTTTCTCAGCTGTGATGATATATTTGACTCAAAAATGAAACTGTAAACTGTTACGCACATTATGTTTGCTGTTGACCTGATTCATCAAACCGAAGAAATTACAACCAGGTGTCATTTTCATGCTTCTTGTCCCTCTTTCACTTCTTATTTTCTCTCTCTTAACAGAGCTGGCAGTAGTGTACGGTATAGTCACAGAAGCGTACACTTGTATGTGTGTGAGAGGTTATTTTTGAGTCTGCATTGACGATTCCCAATCCAGCTGTGACAGCCTCCACCCGCACTACATTCCATATCATACACACACACACACACACAAAGGAAATGCTGGTATGTAGCAGGCAGGATTTCTGTTGCAACAGATGCACTGATACAGCAGGTTTGAGTAGTCCCTGTAACAAGGTGAGAATGAAAAAGGCATTGTAATTGATAATGAATTTCACTATATATATATATATATAATTTTTTTATGAATATTTATTTTTGTGTTATTATTATTATTATTAATAATAATAATAATAAAATTAATAATATAAGTTTAATCATTTTTATTTAATATTTCTTATTTTCATGTTATTTTCATGATTTCTGTGTAAAAATATGTACATAGTGTGTGTGTGTGTGTGTGTGTGTGTGTCTGTGTGTGTGTGTTTTGTGCTTATGCTGGACCTCTGGGAGTCTGCTAGCTTTTGAAGCTACAGTGTTTGATTTCTGTCATCATTCTTTGGCGTTATAAGAACTTTGGCAACTTATTAGATCTTTTAGAACATTGTAGGAAAAGAACTTGCCAGATGCTGTGTCATGGTTCATTCAAATGGTGGACCAGTGTTGTTGTTTTTTGTGGCCGATACCAATGCTGAGATCTAGAGAAGATGGCCATTAGCTTATAAAATGCAGATAATACAGTTTCATGATAGCAAATGAGAATTGAAATCAAAGAACACAATTTTACACAATATTTAGTCAGTATTAACTAAAATAAAAAGGGGGGAAAAGTGAAATCTAAATCTTTTAAAAAATGCTATCGATAGACACAAGAATGAACTGCCTGTATGAAATGGCTAAATAACAGGCTGATATACCAACACAATCTCATAGCTATTCATAACTAATTAACGTTTTGGTGAAGTAGTGGCTAATTCATAAATTTGTACAATCTCATTTCTACATTTTCATACAATCTGCTCATGGCCCAGTGACAGTTATGTTTTGGGGCGGGCCTTTATGTGTACTTTTTATGTGTACTTCCATTGTACAATTCACATAATATGAATTCATACGTAATCACACCTTGTACAATCATTGTTTTCCTGTGAGATCGGGTTGGATATTTCTGTATATTACTATTCCAGTGAACAAAAGCCAATAAAAACTTGTAAGATATCAACAATGTGGAAAATAATCCTTTGTAAAACCAAAATTTGGAAATATAACACGCTTTATTTTTTATTTCTTCCCTGAAAAAACATAAATTGCACATATAAACAGTGAATTTATCCTCCAAATACCGTATACTTGCTATTTCCTACTCAAATGTGTGTTTTCTTACTGCCTGGTACTTGAAGCTTCACTTGTTAACTGTGCAGCAGGTGGTATTGCCTTTACTGGATAAATTTGCTTGCCAAATTGCAATCAAACCGCTCATTGTAGTGTTAGCCAGTTGCCTTGAGTAAAGCACCATAAGTGGGTGTACTGTGGTTTAAGGTGATATAAAAATGAGCTGAAGCAGAACAGCATTGCCATTATGGTCAATGAAAAAGAAACAAAGACACATTTAAGAAATTAGTTTTTAATTGGTGCCTTTTAATCACTTTTTACAACTGAAATCATTGCGTGTATGATTAGTAAACATTAATTGTATATTGAGGCTTTCTAAATGCTTAATCATTGGTTCTATTCAGCTAGTCTCTTTCAAGCGAGTTTTAATCAGACGCTTGTTGATCATTGTTTCTTTGTGCGAGTGTGTATGAATATGTCTCCTGTGTTTGTGCCTTTGATGTGCATGATGTACGCCACATGTATCTTGTCCCTCTTAGGTTGTTTATCTTTATATTTGTGTGTGTGTGAGTGTGTGTCTGCATTCCCTTCCTGTGGGCCTCCAGACCAAAGCCTCCTCACAGTGAGAGAATAGACTGGTTTATTGGAGGCCTGTCAGGCTCAGACTGAATTTACTACCCACAGACAATGTTTATCACTCAACAGAGGGTAATGTGTGCAGAAAGCACTGCAACCAGAGAGGGAGGGATGGAAATAAAATACGTGAGGGAGGCGGCAAAGCAGATCCAGAGCTGGGGAGGGCTTTCTGGCTCACTATAGCTCATAAATCTCCAGACCCCATCCTGAGATATGTGTACTTACAGAGAAAGTGAAGAGAGGAAAGGAGGGAACCGAAAGGGGAGGTGGAAAGCAGCATGACACCTTTCTATGCTGTGCTTTATTTTTTGCTGAAGCATGGAATATTTTGGGATTTCTCTATCGCGGCAGTGTTTGCGCCGTCTTGTGTGTTTGTGTGGTGTGTATTTGTGTCCGAGTGTGTGTGCATGAATATATTTCATTCAGTTTTAAACACCGCTAAGCCGTAATAGAGGCATCAATCACATGAAAGATCATGGTTCCCTTACACATAGAAAACCATATTATATTTGTAGCACTATCATGATTTAGTTGCAAATTAATAATGTAGAGAAAAAAACAACAACCTTTGACTGATATATTTTATTTTATGGCCAACCAAAATGATTTTAAAAAGAATATAATATAATGTACATTTGAAAGTCTCTTATGTTTACCAATAGGGCTGGGAAAATAAATCGATGCTTCGCGAATCGAGAAATTATTCAGCATAGATTCTGAGATTTTCCGAATGCATGGCGATTCTTTCTTGAGTCGAGTCTGAGCTTAGTTTTGAACAGCAGATGGCACTGCATGCTTTAGAAACAGCCGTACTCTTGTTCGCTTCCAAATCCTTACACACGCTTGAACGGTTGAACCTAAAATAATCAAAATTCAAAAAGGTTGAAGCGAATTACAAGGGTGTTCACAGTGGGCTGTGTTTACATTAATCTCGCTTCATAAAAGCATTATGAGCTGAGGTGAAATTAACGTTACATGACTCAGCCGAACGCACAAGCACTCTTTAGCACTTTTTTCATGAGCATTTGAGTGTGCGGATAAAAACTAGATTAGAGCGTCATCTGCTGTTAAAAACTAAGTTCAGAATCGATTCCAGAGGAATCGCGACGCATTCTGAAAATCTCAGAATCGATCCACGAATCAATTCTGCATCGATTTATCGTCCCAGCCCTACTTACCAAGGCTGCATTAATGTGATAAAAAATACAGTAAAAACAGGAATAGTGTGAAATATTATTATTGTAATTCAACAGTTTTCTATTTTAACCCTTTAACTGTCACTCACATTTTTTAACACAGACGTGAAAGTGCACGATCCAAACTTACATTTTTCTAGTTCATGAACGAAATTTTTTTTTTTAACATGATATTGATGTACCATTTTCATGGTAATGCAATATTTGATTTTAAAATGGGTTTCAAGGGATGAATTTTGAGATTTAAAGCTTACATATAATTTCTGATGATTTCTAAAGTGTGATAGAGAAAAAGGCAACAAAGAAAACTTTTTTTGACAAAGGTCAGAACTCCTGTTATGATGTAGATTTTTGAGGTGCACTCTTGTCATAAATTAATCTATTACTTTTCCTACATAATTTTTAACAAAAACATTGGTAAATCTATTTAGGAGTCTTAGACCTTTCCAACGATATATAGATTGTCATGATTAGATTAGGATTTAATTGTAATATAGTGAAGTAAACTTAGGCGTCCCACAGAGGGGACGGGTGACAGTTAAAGTGTTAATATATTTTAAAATGTAATTTATTCAGCACCCATTACTCCAGTCTTCAGTATCACATGATCCTCCAATCAATCTTTGATTTATTTGAGATATAAATCTTTTATAGATATCTTTACTGTCACTTTTCATCTATTTAATGTGTCCTCGCTGAATAAAAATATTAAAAAACATTTTTTTTTAAATTATTTTATTTTATTTTTGCAGAATATTAGGCTACATGTTTTAAGTGAATCCAGAAATCAAAACTTTGCAGCAGGAAAGACAGTCTGAAACTTATTACAGAAAACAAGTACTACTTAAATTGAGGACAAAATAATCGTGATCTGTTTCTAATCAATGCAAGTTAAGACTCTTGCTGAGAATGAACAAAATCTGCTAATATTGGCTGATATTCACTGATGTATTGTGCATCCCTGGTTAATCTGTTACTAGTTCCCTTACTGTGAAATCCTATTGTTGTGTATTGTCATATGAAGTTCTCTGAGTTTCTTGTTTGAGTTTCTTTGTTGTGTGTGTGTGTGTGTGTGTGTGTGTGTGTGTGTGAGTGCCTGAAGCCTGGTGTGAAAGCCTGTGAACCAAATGCCGTCCTCCCTCACACCTCACATTCACACTCCACGGCTGCTGACATTTTACTGCGGCGTGGACGATGTGATGGGCCGACCGAGTGTGAGGTGGATCGTGGGTGTTGTTAATGGGACAGCTCTCAATACCTCTGAGGTTTTGTTTTAATATTTTTACCATTAGTTTTCCATTTTCTGTGCTTAATTTCTGCTGATATTAGTGTTGATATTTTTGTTTATGTCAAATATATGCATATTTAACACATAGTTTCATTGCCTACTTTACTTGCCTGATATCTGTTTGTATTTCCTCTAATATGGTAGCCATGTCTAGTTGTAAACTGTCTCTCTCACACTCTCCTCGTTCCTCTTCCCTGGCCGTAGGGCTCCCTATCCACTAAGGTGCTGAATAATTAATGGAGGCAGGCTGGGTTGATTAAAACAACACATCAGTCTGACCTCATTTAGTGAAGGCATGACTCAGTGACAGGATCCAGCAGTGTCCTCCTACTGACAGATTACTCCTGACTGCGTGTGCTACTGTGAAGGGATTACAGTTTAACACACACACACACACACACACACACACACACAAGTAATGAGCTAAGAGACACTTATGAATGTACCCAAACTAACTATACCCATTAAACTGTCCACATGAAAGTATTTAACTCACAGGAATGTTTAGAAACACTTTTATACATGTGCAGGCTAAAGCTAGCAAGCTAACTAGCAGCCTCTAAACTGTTTGTTGACCAGTGAAGAAAGTGAAGTTATAGCTATTGTGTCCAAAAGCCTTTTATTGAGCAAAAAAGCAAATATTAGCTTCAGGAGAACTTGTGCTGACAAAAACATCTTGCTCTAACTTCTTGCATTTTGTGAATTTGCTTTTGGCAAGCTTATTTCTCTCTTGAATGTGTTACATAACGATTTGCTTTATAAATATTACTGACCGTTTTAAGCCAGGGGCGTCCTCGCGTTTGTTTGTCAGTATTTTTAGTCTCTGTAGATATTGAGGAGTTAATGGTGACATTTCTGCGAGAGCAAATTTACAACTTGTGTCTCTGTGTGAACTGGAAGTCATTGGCGCGACGTCAGATACAGATTTGTCAGCGGTTGACAGCAATAAGCTGTGAATTCCCCAAACAGAAGATTGTCGCATTAAATCCACTGCTGATTTCTGCTTGTATGTTCAGAAATTGTCTATTTTGAATATGGAATGAATGCCTATTACATACTGTATTTGTTTGGTAAAAAGGGAAATGTGATGCCTTGATTTAGGAACAATTTCATATAATAAATGGCTGGTAGACCTGTTGCCAAACCTATTTGCCACCATGTCCGTATCAATCATGCCAGTCCAGCAGCTCACTGGAATGTACTGGAAAGAAACGATTGAGGAGGCTGGCAGGAAGGAGGGAGGAATAAGCTGCCTCATTCGTCTACATCAAAATGAAAAGTTCATTTGCTAATCATTCGTGGCACATGGAGTGAGTTCCTTTTCGCTAATTGTGTCCAAGAGTTGCTATTAGCATATCTACTTTGATTTTGTACTCTGCCCTGTGGCAGCTGACAACGGCTGTTCTTTTTTTATGAACTGCTGAAATAAAATTTTACAAAATTACTAATTTACATGTACTTTGGGGTCAAATCTGAGATTATATATTGTATGCATTAAGCTTGTGTGGAACTAACTAATATTTTATTATGTCAGAACAACCAAACCTTACATTTTGATATCCAACACAGAATGAACATATATTTTAGTAGTAGTTAATCATTTGAAATCAGTATTTTTTAAAGGGGTCATATGATGCCATTTAAATTTTTCCTTTCTCTTTGGAGTGTTACAAGCTCTTGGTGCATAAAGAAGATCTGTAAAGTTGCAAGGACTAAAGTCTCAAATCCAAAGAGATATTCTTTATAAAAGTTAAGAGTCGGTTAACCACGCCTACCTAAAACGCCTCGTTCTAACACGCCCCCACATATCTACGTCACAATGTGGGAAGATTTGCATAACGCCGCCCAAATGTTCACGCAAAGAAAGAAGGCGTAACTTTAATTCTTGCTGTAGTATTGCTGCTGCCGCCGCCATGTCGTGAAGGCACCGTGTGTTTCATTGTGAAAGCGAAACTACTTTGTTTGGCCTTCCAAAAGAGGACACAACTAGAAATCAGTGGTTAAGTTGTATTTACAACACTATTCCAGAACAGTTCAACCCAAATATTCAGATGTGTGCAGCGCATTTTATGGAGGATGAGGACTGTTTCCTGGGAGAGTATAGCCTACAATGACGGTGTCTGTTTCTATAAAGTGGGGCAATTCCAACTTTGCAAGGACAGTCTGGCGCTTCTGACTCACAGCCTGTAAGTACGTTTTCATATTTAAAGAATTTGCCTCTGATGATTCAAACGCGAGTTTTGAGCAGTGTAGAGTAGCACTTGTTGTTTGTCATTTCTCCGATCACAAATGCAGACATGGTTTTATGTTTACGCAGCGCGATACGCAACGCAACATGTAAAAAGACAGTATAAGTCATTATAATCCTTAATTATGTCCCCACTGGATGCAACAAATGCCTCGTTTATAATGAGTTTTATTGGTTTTGTCTCGTCCTGCTGGGAGACGGCATCACAGTATGTTAAGGGGCGTAACATTTCCATCACACGCTTGAGGTATTCGGCCAATCACAACTCACTGGATAGCTGGCCAATCACAGCACACCTCGCTTTTTTAGAACGATGAGCTTTGTAAAAATCGACGTGTTTCAGAAAGGCGGGGCATAGAGGAAAAACAATAATGTACATTATATGGAAAATAATGTGTTTTTTTAACCTTAAACCACATAAACACATTGCATTACACCAAATACACCAAATTATGTTCTTTTTAGCAACGTCATATGACCCCTTTAAGAAATTAATAATTTTATTCAGCAAGGACACATTACATTAATTAAAAGGATCATATTACAATGAAGACTGGAGTAATGGCTGCTGAAAATTCAGCTTTGCCATTACAGGAATTTAAAATAGATTAAAATAGAAAACAGTGATTTTAAATTGTAATAATATTTCACAATATTACTGCATATACTGTATGTTTCATCAAATAAATGCCGCATTGGTGGGACTTATGCTTACCAACTCCAAACGTTTTAACTGTAGTCTATATCTACAGATGGGTCAATAGAGAAATGTTCTCAGTAGAGGCCTGTAAATCTTTTGAGTTTCGCAGAGCACAAGCTAATAATTAGTTCCTATTGCTAAATCATAGAATGTACTGAAATCCGAGATTAAATCACATAATCACACAGGAACAGTCACACTGATAAGTATGTATGGATGGCATGTTTTCAAGCACTTCTTTAGAAGTTTTGTATTACACTGTGTCACATCAATCCCATTGTTGACGGCATTCTGAATCATGGCCAGCTGATTTTGTCATGATTGTGCCAGCTAATAGTTTTGACTTGTAATTTCGTTATCAGGTTTCTCTGGGGACTTTTATTTCTTTTTCAAAAGCATTCCAATGTGTAGAAAACTCTCTGGGACTTTTTTTTTTTTTGCTGAGCAGATACCGTAGTCTGAAGTCTGAAGTTTCCTTCAAGTTGAGATATCTGAACCTTAAAAACTCTAAGGAAGAGGGGGGAAAAACCTCTGAGTGAATTTGCTGCGCTCAGCCCTTTTCAGTCTCAGTGTCCTGCTTGAAGACAAAGTAAAAACAGTATATTGACATTTACAGGAGTGTTTTTTTTTTTCGTCTGGCATGGAGGGTCTAGATAGTGGAGAATGTTGTGGTTTTGTCTGTGTGCTTTCTTCCATTTATAATTAGTTGAGAATTCATATGTGCAATGAGCAGAAACCATTTTTTTCTGTGCTCTTATCATCATGCTAAATATTTCCTGGACTTTTAATGAATTTGATTACGAAGTCTTGTACTCATTCACAGATCTTAAACAGTGTTGCTATTGTACAACCATATTATCTTAAGAGGCTAAAATATGAACACAATTGGCCTCTCTTCTTGCTGCTGATCCGTGTTCAGGAAGCTAATGTAGAGAACCAAACTGCTACTTAAACCCAAACAAACAGGGTGAAGTTTTAATCAGAAGAATGCTGTGGTCTTTGGCTTTTTAGTTTTTGTGGAACAAAAAAAGGTGATGTTTTGAAGAATCCTGGCCACCTTTTTCCATACAGTGAAAGTGAATAAGGACTGGGTCTGCCAAGATGACTCATGACAAAAAAACATTTATTGCCTTTTTTCCCTTATATATAGCTCGCAAATCAAATATGACACCTTTTGATGCACTGTTTAATGTCAACATGTGGTTACAATGCACATGAGAACTACTGACAAAATGGTGTTGATGTATCATTTGCAGTCATTTAATAACTTAAATTTGTGTCTGTTCCTCACATAAAGCTATTGCATGATTTCAGAAGACCTTGAATGTAATGTATGAGTCATATGGACTACAGTACTTTTTTTTGCCTTTTTAAGCTTGACATACCCAGTTCCAATTCAATTTCAATTTATAGATTCCTTTTTTTTTTTTTTTTTTTTTAAGTCCCGTTGTCCTCTATGGAAATCATATGGGCTTGGAATAACACGAGTCAGTAAATCATGATTGAATTAAACTGTGATCTGTTCCTTTAAGGTTTAAAACCTTTCTATTTTCCAACCTTTAATCTTTCTACCACATTTTCCATTGTTAGAACTATGTCATATGTTAATGTTGGATTAACAGACATTGACTGGTTTTGCACTCGTTTTGTTTCTCAAGGTGTCAGCACATATTCTTTAAACAAGAGAAATCTTTCGTAGAAATGTATTGCATGTGTTTGGATTTGCATGGGGATTAAAGGGCAAATCTATTTTACTGATCATGTCCTCTACTTTTTTTTTGCAGTATTAGAGACAGACTTCAGTTTAAAAGGCGCTAACAGTAAACCGTAACTCTTGTTTAGATGCAGACTATCGAATCGCATGCGATGTCAAAAATTAGCTGTAATTATACTGAAGAAATATCCTGTAGCTCAGTGCACATGTGCTTCAGTCCAACTTCCGTCTCATCCAAAAGAAATCTGGTCTACTGAAATATGTGGAAGGGCTTCTTGTATATGCATTTATTTTATTCATTTTACACATTTATACACTATTTTTGCTCTCTTTTTCATGGACCACCTTATTTATTTATTGATTCATTGATGTATTGTTTTTATTCATTTTATACCTTTTACAGATTTACTCTGTTTATCAGACTTACTCTGTTTATACAGAATATCTATCTATCTATCTATCTATCTATCTATCTATCTATCTATCTATCTATCTATCTATCTGTCTGTCTGTCTGTCTGTCTGTCTGTCTGTCTGTACACTACTTTTCCTCTTTTTTCCCCCCCACAGACCACCTTCCTTGCAGTTTGAAAACCTATGACCTAAAATTAACCAACAGCCAAACAGCTATTTAGGCATTGTTTTAGCAAACTCTCATTCATTCTGCCTTCATTCCGGTATGTAACGCCCACTTTTCACAATCTAGTTGCTTGTCCCCTTTGAAATTCTTCACATTACAGAAATAAAATGGGTTGCGGACAGCAGTCTGTGCTGGCTTTTTAGAGCGTGCATCATGTCATTCTATACGAGAATATGATAACCAAACAGCTCGTTAACATTTGCCTCTTCATTTACTACTCAAGGACTAAACCTTTAATCTCTTCGTGTTTGTTCTGAAGCACTCAGCCTCTCAGTGCTCCGTGAGTCCTGATCAACACATCCCATCCGTGGCCCCCGTCTGCCCCCTTCCCCGGCGCAAGTGCATGAGAGCGCTTGAGCATTGCTGTGCCTCTATTGTAATTGTATCAAGGGGAGGGAGAAAGATGGGTTAATTACCCTCTCAAAGTGGCCAGTGCACTTGGAGAGGAGGGTCAAACAAGTCATAATGGTGCATTTGCCAGGCCATTTTGAGGGTACTGTAGCAGAGCGACCAGCTCTTGTTCCCACTTCAGACCGCTTTAGAGGGCTTTCGCTGATTAAAGGGGGGATTTGCGTCGGCTGCTTTCATGGGTCCTTGGCCAGGAGAATCGATATGTCAATAGGCTCAGTATCTATATGCAAAGCGGGGGTTTGGCCAGCACATTCAGAGCTTTTTGATATGCATGGGGCTTAGGCTTAAGCCACTGGCAGTAAAGACCGAGCATTATCACAAAGGCTGCTTGATGTTTTTATGTGTGGTGATATGGGGTCCTCCATGGGGAGTGGGTCTGCTTTGATAAGATAGAGGGCTGGTGGCCTGGAAGGCTGGCTGACTGGCTGTGGTCTGCCAAGGTGCGTTTGATGACTCAGAACTCCTTTAAACTGAGAAATTGCTGGCTTTTGTTTTGGCCGCCCGTCTGTGTAACGTACCAGATTCTTCCTGCCCGAGGCCCACCATCACAGCGCAGTCCCGTTGGGTCCTTTGTGTGTTTGCCTCCACGTGAAAGAGAGCCGGAATGTGAAATCAAGAGCGAGAGTGTTGGGGGTGAGGGTCTTTCCTCTAGGGGGTGTCAAGGTAATGGGCCTGTTTAGAGAGCAGCCCCTATCTGTCTCTCATCCTCTCAATATCTCTCTGTCGTGCCGGGAGTAGAGATGATGGGGCTTCCTTTTATGCCGTTACCATCCGCAGAAGATGGAGTAGTGCGGGGACACCGGTCGAGGTCAGCGGACCTCCCCCATCCCGTACTCAGCTCCACCTCACTCTTAGGCTCTTTGAAATGGTGATGATGATGGGGTGACCCCCGCTGCCCCCCGATGCGACGCCCTCAATGAGGCTTGGGTTTGGTAGATCATTCCACTACCCCCGCTTTTCCCTCCCCT